GCCATTTCCTTACTGCGATGCTGTACCCTGTGTCCAACCCCGTTTTGAGAGCTAGAAGGGAACGAAATGACTCACGGGATTCTTGCAAAATCAGCTGAGTATCCGTTGGCTCGTTTTCCATTTTGCATACTTTGACAGCTACCGTTATCGGTAATGAGCCCTAGAAAATGTATTGTATACGGTAAAGATAATGTGGAATGAATACCTAGATAACTGCAGAAATCAGTTAGAGCAATTACGAAGGTGAAACCCCTCCATGCCAACCAAGGCCTTCTACCCTCCGGGGACGGTAATTGGTACCAGATTCGTCTGGGAGGATAAGAACACTGACTTGTACATCGGCTGGCCCCCGCAAGTCATTGTATAGGCCACATCGCATTCAATAAGCCACTACGATTCTGAATGGAAGTAGAATGCATGGCGCATCCCATGAAGGGATAGATCAGTGGCGAAAACTGTCTTTTTTATGGCAAAGTAAAGATTACTATTATCACATTACATTATTTATTATTTGAAGATCGATTGCAGCCTATAAAGAAGCCTGCTCTGGATAATAACGAACAATGATCTCACCGGGTCCGCTAGGGTCCCTCGATAAACGTTGCCGAACTGTCCTCCACCGATAAGCTCCTTCAAAGTGACATGTTCTCTCTTTATCCTTGCATCGTTACTGCCTAAAACACACCTTGTAATTAACGAGCAATAATCTAGATTTATTTACAAGGCACAACTGAAATTGCCTCTCGAGGTACAGTCCACGCTTATCACATGGGCGGAGTCGGCCAATCATTGTATCTTCCCAAATGGAACACTACTCGTCTTTAAGCGGACCAATGAGGAAAGCCCAATGAATGGCTGACTCCACCCATACGTTCAGTGTGAACTCCATCTTAAAACATTTACCTCCGAAGTTTTGAAGTCTGCGGCCTGTGCAGAGTGGTAGCACGCAAATCGGCACTCTCGCAACGTTCCAAGCCTAAAGGCCAACTTGAATCTCTGGCAGGAGCTACAGTCAGAAGAACTTACTTACCTTTTTTCTTGTAGACTGAGCTCCCCTGATTGTACATTATTTGATAGCCGTCAATCAGATGAGCTAAAGACTCGGCAATATCGTGAGTTGCCACCGTAATCAACTGAAATATAACGAAGGTAAATAAATAGGAAAATACTTGAAAAAACACATTCTCGCCCAAATCGGCCCAAGTCGGCTTGGGGGGGGCACCGTATGGTACTCTAGCAAGCATGTACAGGGCACCTCAAGGTATAAAACCTGTAAATTCCTGTGAGCAGAGTGGCTCGTTCGTACCATTTCGCTTTGCAGGAGTTTACAGGTCTCATCAGAATAAGAACTGTGGTTTAACATGACTAACAAAAGGAAATAGCAATGGTTAAAAATGTCCCCTCCAAGCCGAACAGCGCCCCCAAACCAATGCTTGAAATCCCCGGATGACAACGAAACAGAGATTTGGCGTTCATGTTCTGCACGTTAGGGAAGAACTAGGCAATAGGCGATAAAAGAGTGCAAGGGTGAGTCATTGGTAAAGAGTTGCTAGAGTGCTGGAATGATGAGACCGCGTGGGCGATTAGTGGCCCACAAGGGCAAGCAATTTGAAGCTATTCACCTGTCAAGATTTCAAATTAGGTTCAAACTCGATGTTAAATTTTTTGGTTCACGTAGTCTGGGTCTTAGAACGCTCAACAAGTAAAGATACATTTTATGCTGATAGCATGGGCGGAGTCAGGCCTACCATGCTCCCTATTGGCGCCGCTTCTCTTACCGATCTGCAAAGGATGACCTTGTTATCAATGAGTAAGGCACACTGCTACGCCTGATTCCGCCCATACGATGAGCGTGGACTGAAGCAGCACAGCGCCTAACGGTGCTGGGAAACAAGACCCTTCCAAGTGAGCAGGTGTTCGTTCTTACCATAGGCTGCGCAGTACCCGAAATCTTCAGTTGCAATATGGCCTTGTCAGAACTCTGCTCCATCTTCTTGATGACAATTTCCAGCACAGAGCGCAGTTCAGCCAATCGAGAACTCTGAAAAAGATTTCGACCCTCAAAATATCGCCGTCAAGATAGAAGAGGGTGCACCAACCTCACATCGCTCGTTGATCCGATAGGAAGAGCCCCACTTCTGGGCCAACAAGCAAGTCCACAGGTGAAGGACCATCCAACCTCCAAAAATGGAAATTACCATTAAAAGCAGTAAATTAAAAAATGAGTAGACAAAGGGTAAAGCAGTTGGCGGCGAACGATATCAACACGGGATTGCCGGCCACAATCTAATTCCTTAGGGTAAATATAACAACAAACGTACCCCCATACTCGCTTTGAAAATCTCCACATCGAATTTTACAATGTCGATTAGGATCGACAACGATCGAAGCACAGATTCAGTTGGTGAGAGTGAAGAGAATTTCTTGAGGAGTTGAAGAAACTGTCGACGTAAATGAGATGGCTGAAAAGAGAAGGACATTATGGATTACTAAATAACAAGGAACCACGAGGTAGTAACCTAAGGGGGGGAGAGTGTGATTATGATGACTCCTTGGCAAACCAGAACTAACGTAAAGAGGCTAAAGAGTTTTGCGTGAGCCAGAGAGAGTGGAGGCTCGAGAGTAAGGAATGTGGTAGAGCGTTTTTCCGGTGCGCGGCGACTGCGCGAGAATAAGTATTGCTGGCGAGGTAATGTACCGAATTCGCACGCCAGGCCGCATCCAATACAGCGCTGGCAGTTTGGCAGCAGCATTGCTCTTTGGCGTACTGCAACTCTCAATCGACTAGCTATCGCTCTGTCCTGCCTAGTCAGTCAGTTAGAAAACACTCTGGCGTCTCTGCCACAAATGTCGGCGAATTTTTTTTTTTTTTTTTTTTTTTTTTTTTTTTTTATTTCTTTGTTTTATTTTTTTCTTTTTTGAGTGGTAACGCTCCTCCGCCCCGACGTGGGCAACATGAAGTATGGTATTCTAGGACCGTATGAGGATTATCCAGTCCCTACACAAGGAGGCATTTTGAACAGCTCCGAAAAAGCCGCTGAAAGATAAATCAAGAAGTAGAGAGTAAGAACGACGCATTTGCCTGGGGGGGGGTTGGAGACATTTGTGCACCTTCGCTTTCTTGCCATTGTCGTTGCCACTCGGCCGCTCACGTAAGACCTGTGAAATCCTTGTGAAGCCCCGGCCTAAGTTACAGCTGAAGTTTGTAAATACCACTTGTCAACTCTTGCAAAGAATACCTGTCAAATCTTGTAAAGCAATGAACACTTCGATGATTAGTAGCTTAGGGCTCCAATGCCCCCCACTACCTCCCCCCAAGCAAAGCCTTACGCTATAAGACTAGTGAAATTAAGGTACTTAAATTCCTCACTTTGACGTTCCCACCACAGAGAACTGATTTTGGAATGAACGCTTGCATAGCCGAGTCCATATTGATGGTGTCAATGTCGACCTTGTGATCAAGGCAGGACTTGCTGAAGAAATTAAGCATCACTGAAAAGTTCCAAGAAGGAAAACGTTCAATATAAACTAACACTTGCTTTTCGAGGCAATCCCGGCATACTTTCAGGGCAGCCAGTTCAAGTGCAGCTTCAAGGCTGACCTTCCAGGCAACATGTCCAAGGAAATCCTCGAAAACCTGAACTCAGATCTATAGATTCTCTTTGTACTTCTGAATTCCAAGAGGAATGAGTCTATTCAGTTGGAACAGATAACAACAATAGGGACGAACACACCTGTTCATTGAGGTAGAAGAATGCGTTGGATTCAGTCAGCAAGAGCTCATACGCAGACTGAGGGATAAACCTTAGCCTCAGTTCGAAACTGCAAAGATTTTAACATTACGATAAATATGAATTTAGATCATGGGACTCATGATATTTGGAACTATTTATCCTCCTGCCCCACTGCCAAGCCACATTTTCATCAAAAATGACAAAACTTTCCACCACTCCGAAAATAAAATTGAAATACAGCTCGGCTTGAAGGGACATATTGTAAATCCGTTACTTCCCATCGCCATATTCACCGCTTTACAAGAGTTAACAAGTGGTCCTTTACGAACTTTGACTGGTACCACCTCCTCTTGATCCCCCTCTAGCCCCAAGCCAAACTGCGTAAAGATTTTGATAAAAATTCCGCGACATTTCGATGAAACTAGCAGGAAGACATTTGGGTCGATCTTATGGGGGGGGGAGGGGCTGACCATCTTAACGCGCATACCAAATCCGCTCAAAGTAAAAATGCCTCAAGGCAAATGCACAGGCCCTCCTTAGTACCAGCGCCAGTAGCACACATACCAGGCACATTCGTCAAGTCTACTGGGATGGTGTCAGAAGGTCCCATTGATATTCGCAAGAATATGTGCTATTACCGCTGCTGCCCTAGTACCTCTTTAATCCTTTTTGGGATGCGGCACGCATTCTACTTCCATTCAGAATCGTAGTGGCTTCAATGAATGCGATGTGGCCTATACAATGACTTGCTGGGCCAGCCGATGAACAAGTCTAATTTTTTTCTTCCCAGAATAACCTGGTACCAACTCACTGTCCTCGAATGTAGAAGAACTGGGTGGCCCGGGAAGGAAGGAGGCGGTCCGAGATCTGAACCCTCGACCCCGCGCTCGGTAACGTCCTACCTGCCACAGCAGCACCTCCGTCCTCGCGCAATTAACCACAGATTTGTGAGGGTACTGAGGGCCACTCGGCTTTGAGGGGAATTTTGCACTTTCGGTGGAACCTTTTGCAAGTTCATGTTAGCAACAGTAAGTAAGAAGTCCAACCTGTAAAGTCTCGTAAAGCTGCAAAGTGGTAAAAGCGAGCCACTTTACATTTACAGGTCTTCACAAGAAGGCCTGTATAAGATTAGCTGAGCTGCAGTAGCATCGGGTGCCTCCACCAACCGATTGCGCCAAATTTCGTTTGTAACTGCCCCCCTTGATCACTCATAATTACACTACGGGATCGTTGATAGTAATTAAGCAGAGAAAGTAGACTGTATAGAGATCCCTCAAGAGGTAGACTACGCCTGTCGAAGAAAAACATCATGAAGCCGATGATTAATTAGTGATGGAACTCATACGCCGAAGAATGGCACGTCACACGTGAGTCGATCGAACGATAGGTGACGGGTGGCAAACACTTGAAGGCCAACTGTTACATTCCAGAACTGCAGAATAACTACTAGGTGGGAAGAAAAGCATTCTTCCTTCGAAAAAATCATTTTTTATGACTGTACTGTTGCCAGTCTCACATTCATCTAATAGTAATACCAAGATGGAGAAATCACCAAAAACATCGCTAGCTCAGTCCGGCCGCGGCTCAGTACCGAGCAGGTCAGTGCTTCACTTAGAAGCAGTTATTCCGCCGAATACAGTTGTGGGCGGAGATCCCACATATACCTTTTGACAGCATCAAACGACCGTACTAGCAGAACTTACCTGTCTCACTTAGTAGCATCGAGAACTAGCCAGAGGAACCAACGAAAGGGCAAAACACTTTATCACTTCCCTACATGCCGTTTTTCCGAAGTTTTACCGCGAAAGTCAACAATCTGGAAAAATTTCCAGCGCGGCAAATTCTTCAAAAAGCATATAGCAACCCCCCCCCCCCCCCCCCCCTCCACAACGGCCAAGTACGAACCTGGTTTCGCACAACGATGCTGTAAATGACTGCACTGGTGCATGAAAAGGGCTATACTTCCACTTCCTCGTTTACCTAAGAAAGAGCCCCCATGTTGGACCATTGCTCGCGAAGGCCGCTGGAATGATACTTTATCTTGATTGACCTCAGAGCACTAGGATTATAAGCCTTACAATCAAAGCCTTTAATACCAACACTCCATTTCGGCGCGCATACGTCAATCACTCAAGTATGAAGCGTCTAGACGGCCTGTCAAAGCTGTTAACTTCTATGGAAATAAACAACTGGGTTAACATATGAGCCACATAACGCAGCAGATGAGCCATTGTTAACCCCTTTAACAACCGCCCCAACAAGTACCGCATTTACGGTAGCCTGGGATGGGTTTGGCGCGGTGCCAAACCCGTTCTCCACCAGTTGTTAAAGCGAGCAAATGATATGACTGTATCATATCGTTCGTATTACTCGTTTTCTACCACTTTTTGTCGCATGCGCGCTTCAACAAGAAGGCAGAGAACGGCTTCCGCAGCGAACCAGCGTATATTTTGACTTGAAAAATAACGAAGACATGTGTGGGCGGAGCAAAAGTCCAGCTCAACATCTGGGAGGAAGTCTAGCTCGCCGCGCCGCTTTATAAAATTTCCGGTTATTTTGAATGCGATGGAAAGAGCTGTTCCCTCTAGCGCCACCTAATGCAATTGCCGTTTGATTCAGATAAAAACTGGGTACCTTCCATTGGGCAACTCTTTTCCACTACTGACCCTACTACTTCGTTGCAGACATCAAATTATAATGTGTCCGATGAAGCTTGCAACCAAAAAAGGCGCCGTTCGGCTTGGCGGTGGTGGAGCATTTTGCACTTTCGCTGGTTTCTTTTGCCACTTATTGCCAAAAAATATTTTGGTAAGACCTGTAAAGGGCATAGTTCGGGGCATTTTGCTCCCCA